TTTGGCTGGTCGTCGAACAGCTGGCGCCTCGGACGGGAGAAAGATACTAATGGAGGTGTGCAATTCTGGATCGAAGAGTCCAACATAGCTGTGCAAGGCATGTAGAAGCTCGATAATAATATTCGGACAGGATCAGTGTACTTACTGCCAATTAGCCTCGGTAATTTTTTTCAACAATAAATTTGTCTTAGTGCGGGTCAGTAAAAATTAGCATCTACCTCATGTTTTTTCGTGATTTGTTCCATGTATTGGTCAACTGCCGTTGTTATGGGATTTGCATTCATCCCCGAATTAACCTGAAAATGCGCAGAATTATTTTTTCTTGAGAAAGGTGTTTCGAAAGTGCTTCTAAAAAACAATTTTTTGAAATTCGGTTGGAGAACACATTTTTTTAAAATAGTTCTTTCGTAGGGGCATAGTCGCATATACAGTGTGGTAAACAACCATTTTTTGTTGCCTTTTTTGAAGATGTTTTTTTAATACATTTTTAATAAAAAGTAGCTGTTTGCACCTTTACTTTCTTCACCTCTTTTCTTTCCCAGCCCTCCTCTCTCGATTTTCCTTCTACTTTAATGCTCTGTTTTGCATTAAATATATTTTTAATTGTTAGCACACAAAAGTAAAAATAATGAGCCTTTTGTACTGTCGCTGCTCAGTCTAAAAACACATGAAAGAATTAAATTTTTTGGAAGAAGCTAGACTCGCCTGGAAAACAACAGTTTCAATACATCAGGCACTGAATTTGCTATTTTCGTATTGAATTTGCTGTTTTCCAAAGGGGTTTGACTTAGAGAAGCTGGTTGTAGATGCCCAGTCGATTTGGCCCGAGAAACGACAAATTTTGGAGAGGCTTGCCATCGTTAAATTCTTTTTAGGTTACTGTATAGAATCCGGCCGAATTTTCAAAAATAGAATGCTTCGTTTAAATTCAGTTCATCTGGAGGAAGAACAATACTTTTGGACGCAAATGAAGCTGATGGCAAATTGAAATAATTTGCGGCAAAATTTCGAAAAGCAGTGCAGTTACATAAATTTCAGACGAACTGCTACTAGTAAAGCGGAAGAGAGAGAGCGAAACAGAGAGAAAGAAAACCAAAATAGTTTTCCACTTTCATTAAGAAATGCTAGGGATATCTGAGCAAATGACATTAAGGGATAAAAATGAAGCTGTTTATGCCTTACCTCTTGCCATGCATCATAATAGTCGAAAAGTATAGCATTCGATTCCTCCATGATTGAAGCACTCATATCAACTGTTTCTTTTGGGCAATTTACCCGGAAAAAGTGATTATTGCCGATTAACAGCCGATAGCCGTTACGCAACAGCGTCCGCTCCGTTAGCAAATGACCATTAACACAAATCCTAAAACGGTAATCTTTTCCTCAAAAAAAGTGATCAGAAGTACTAAATGTATTAAGGGTAACTCACAGGCTTAGCAGACGAAAAGGGATAAAAATGTAAAAAATGATTTTTTGCTTTTTAAGTCGCAAAGTACTACTGGAAGCGCAAGTCGAACCAAACAAAGTGTTTGGCTCAATCTGCCACACGTTAA